CTGCAATGGAAACGTAAACTTCCTCCATCGAAACTAGATCTCTATACCAGAATTAAGGACGTGCAAGTTATGGAATATCTGACAGCGCGCCTAAATAACACAGTAGAAGCTCACAAAGCGGTGTGGAGACCGTGGGATAGCTTTGAGGTATGCTCGAATGGAGAGGTAAGGGAAGAACAGATAGAAGGGGAGCGTGTAGGGTGAGGGTCCTGGAGAACAGGATACAAGGCAAGGGGATATGGGAGGAACACTGATAAAGGCCGAAAGTGGTAAACATCGGAGACGAAGCCCTTGTACACAAGTTCTTTTCTTTTCTTTCCTTTTCTTTACTTGTTAATCTATAACTATAGAGTTTTTAAGGATGTTAAATTAATCGTTGAGGTATCGAAATATAACGGTATTGGTTGAATGTAGATCTTAAAAAAGATAAGCTATACAGATTCGGAAAACTACAAGCAATAAAGAGCAGCAATCACGATACATTAAGAAACTAGCAAGACGCACAAGAAAAAATTTGCTCTATGAAAAAGGTTTTTTAGGCTTACTATTGAAAATGTAACTATATACGTGTTGTGATGACTGATAACATACCTCATATCTTGGATGCCTCACATACCGTTGTAAGTTTTGTAACTCATATATGCAAAATACACAATAAAAATTGTCAATTTAAAAAAAAAAGGAGCTTTATTCAATGACCAAGTCCCCTGCATCAAAAGGGCTTCATGACTCCTCCCACCCCTTAAGGATGGCATCTGTGGTGAGAATCTTCCAGTATATTGGAAGAAAGGGTGTGCCTGACTCTAGGGCTGGATTCCTGTGTGAACAGACTAGAGATAATCTGGTCTTGGGTGTCAGGTGTATTGTTGTTCTTGTTCTACACAGCCGGAAAGTTTTGTATTGGATACTGTGCCTCTCCTTTCTTCATTTTTCTATACAAAAATGTTATTGGTTATTCAGATGTCTGTGTATCATAAAAATAGGTGCATTTTCTGATTTAACTGAGTCTATTTTGAAAAAGAGTAGTAACAAGAAATAGGGAATTAAAACATAGTTGTCTATGTAATTTAATTACATCGGCTCAACTGGGATGTTGTTTATTGAGCAAACAATAGCTTCTTACAGGTGACGTTTTAGACCTAGGGTACTAAATTAAAATATTCTATATGTATTGGATTATATACAGCAGGGCTAGCAGCTCACAAGAGTTCATACCAACTTACAATATTCTTAGATCTTTCAACCCAAGTGGCAAATTAGAGAGCTCACAGAGTTCTAACACAAGATTAAGTGCACAGGCACAGTATGCCTTGTAGGTCTAAATGTTATGCTAGAGCTTATAAAACATTTCCCTGAATACAAGTGCCCATCTACCGAGAATTAACTTGACCCAATGCTTTCTTAATGGTAAAGTTGAGGGCTGCATTGGAATAAAAAGGAAACACTTTAGGTAACTTTAATATTGCTGCAATGGAACACATGGCAAATACTTTTCTTGAATGTAATGAGCCATTCAAGTTAATGCACTATTTCATCCTTGAGAACAGTAATTACCGGTACTCCCTTTTGAAACCTGTTTGTATAGGATCCTACAGTATGTCAGATGGCATTGTTGAAAATTTTTATATATATATATAATTCTTACAATGCTTCTTTTAAATACTTAAGAAAGAAAACGCTATTACTAGAACATGTACTAGAATCCCGGTAAAAATGGTGATCTGCCTTTAGAACAGAAGAAGGTAGTATCATCCATAATTCACAATGTCTTTAGAGAAAGTTATTGGCTGCAGTAATTTAGCTCATTTATTCCCAGCACATATAACAATCTAAATGCATTAAGAGAACAGTTATGCTTTAGTAAGTCAAAGCAAAGAACGGCTAATTGTTCTGGAACTATAATTCCCAGCTTTGGCCCACAACTAACTTATGAAGAAAAGAAAATGAATAGGGCTGACTTTTCAAAGGGTCTTTCCATTGTAATGCAATTCTACTGCTGATGACATTTAAACCACTGTTAATGAACCAGACACACTAGACAGCACTGGGGATATTTTTAATTCTCCGGACAGTTCACTTGCAATATGCAGAAGTTAGAAGTCATGATAATTAATTCAGATCCATTTCTATGTTAATGACTTGTGAAACAAAAAGTGAACCTAAAGCAATATTCTGAGAACTGTACAGCAGGATAATAAACATGATAAATCTTATGCACATAAAGCAAAGTTGGAATAGCAATATTCCAGCAAACGAGCCACAAGTCTAGTAGAATGGGATGAATACTTTCTGCAACCTGGCAATAATGAATGGGTCTAATAGGTGGTGATACTCACATTTCTTCTATAAAATTATGCAAATGCACCATAAACAGAATATGAAAAGAGAATGGTTCATCTGGTTTCTTTAAAACACGCATTTATTTTCTACATTTAAATAGAAAGCTTTTGAAAAAGGCAAATAGCGCAAAACCAATATATGACTATATAGGCTTCACTGCAGATGAGTAACTAGGTTTAAGGGCTTTTTAAAAAAGATTTGTATAAGTATATCCATTTTATTCTTACAAAAGTAAATTTCATTTCTAAAGAATATATTTTTCTACACATATACTATATTACTTTGTACAGCCAATGTTTTTCTTATGTGTAGATTTAGGTTGATCTGAAGTTCTTTCTTGCAAAATTCTGCTGTGGGTTGTCAAAATGAAAAGGAAAAAGTGAAAGCAAACCGTAATAAAGCTCCCATAACTTGGAGTTCTGATGAGTGTTGCTGTTTGTTTACAGTGTGAATAGGGTTGCTGTTCATGTTAAGAAAAATGCTAAATTCATCCTGAATATAATAGATTCAGTTCTGAAAAGCTAGAACCAACATCTGCAATCTTCAAGTGCTCTGTATTTGGCAGAAAAAAAATGCACCAAATGCCACACAGTGCACATAATTGTTTAAGCATAGCTTATAATTGGGAAATGTATTGTCACCAAATTAATAAAACCCGCAGCTGTGGGTGGTATGTGGTAATTAAAATAATAAAAAAGAAAAAATAATTTAAAAAAACCCCAGAAACACATAGGGGAAGGGGGGGGGGAAAGCTGATTGGTTGCAGTGCAAATCTGCTCCAGATTTTGTCTGCTCCAGTTTTTATAAATTCCATCCATACTGTTAAACACAAACACATGTAAATGCAGAATTAATCATGGTATTCAGTGAAGTCATCCATGTCAATCACGACATCCATTGAGGTAATCTACATCAACAACAATGACCAAACATTCAAGATCCTGTCCCCTACTATCACTGAAAATCATTATAGTAGGATGCGTGTCCAAGGAGGGCACCACACAAATCTAAAGCAGAAATAGCCTGTGGTTGATTTACTAAATGCAGATAGGCTGTTCTCTTTACAAGGGAATTGGCACTTTCCAGGGAATGTTTCCCTTAGCTTGGTGAATGTGATGAACTTTAACTCTGCAAAGAATATCCAATCATGTGCAAGGAAAATAAAAAAAATTGTTTTGTTTGCACATGACAGGATTATGAGAGGTTCACCTTATTCGCTTAGTTAAGGGAAACTTTGCTTACAAGGGGAAAATTCCCTTGCAGAGTAAACAGCCTATTTCTCATAAGTAAATTAACCCCTATGTAGTAAAACAGAGGTGACTGATTATTGACCTACTTGGACATATACAAGTGATGCTTTAATCATTTGTCCTGCCACTTCACTTTTTCTCAAAGGACTTGGTGGTTGTTCTCCAACCATTCTACAACATCTTGATATGATTAAAAGAAGCTTTGGACATTCCCACAATCTATCTATGGTTAACTACTCGCCATTTTCTGATTGGATTACATACTTTTTTTTTACCTTTATGAGAAATATAATTCCACTGGGCCCTGTGATGTATGATTCCCTCATGCAGGATTTTTGAATGATTTTATATGTATGTCTTACTTTTTGCTAAATATAGGAGATACATGGAGCACAGTGTGTGGTTTGACCTGCAAATCTTATGATTTTGTATTTCTTTTTTATATTCTGTTCATATACCTAATATCAATACCTGTTAGGAAGATATTATTAAAAAAAATAATTATTCAGTACAACTAAAGGAACTGTTTCAGAAGAAATAAACTGCAATCATGAAAAATTGTCTAGCCATTTGGATAACATTGGAGGTTTGTAGCCAGTTGTCATTCACTAGAATTCACTAACAAAAACAAAGGTAAGCTTAACTTACTGGTTTACTGTGATCCAATTCTACTAGGAAATGTTCAGGATTACTATTTACAGTTTGAAGCTCAAATGTTTCGTGCGTAGGATTACATAATGGAACAATAAGACGAGTCCACCTGTTCAGAAATCAAACAGGAGTTACATGTGGCCATTATAAATGGCCTTATCTTGTGAAATTGAGATAATCTATAGACTAACTGGTTTAACGGCATTGTCAGAAAGCAGGAGGACGTACACATTACTTCCAGAGTGAAAAGGTTAATGTAACATGCAATCTTTTACCATAGAATCCTACAGTACTGTTTTTTGCTGATACTCCAAGTATCCCAAAGGTGTAATAAGGTTTGGTACTTTGCACTTCTGTGCTTTCCCATGGAGATCAGAATACGTTTTCGACATTAGAGGCAATAGTGCCATTCATATCTAGACAATTCGTTTTTTTTTTTTTAAAAAGCACAAAGCATCTTTTCTTCCTTGTCTCAGTAGTCAGAGTTTTAACATAACAATTTTTCCGACAAGCAGCTTTCAAAGATGCTTAAGGTTAGGTAAATAACAAAGGCACATGCAGAGGGCAGAGAAGAAAACTGACTGTGTTTTAAATTTTGTCTACGATAAACAGCTTTTAATGCCATTCTGTTTTAAATATACTGTCGTTTTTTTTTGGTAAGAGGAAGATGTGGACTTAGGCTAAAAACAATAACACAACAAAGGCTGGCAAGACAGAAATGTACCACCTACAACTAAGCACATCAACAAAGAAGTTAAAATGCTGAAGGCTAAAAACTTTTCTTCACCAGGGTCAAATTTATTGAACAGTATTAAACTGAATGTGCAAAAACAATACTAACTTTCCAAGTTCACAAACTGCTTCAGGAACTTTAATTGGTGTTGGCTTCTCAGATGACATTTGTAATTCATACCAAAATTCTCCAAATATATCACACTGGAAAATCACGCTAGAGAAAAAAAACATACAGTGGATAAGTAATTCAGAAATGTATCCAACATCGTTGATCTAAAGGCGCTGCCAGGGGGTGGCTGTCAGTGCCATACATACAATATGTTCAGAAAAAAAAACATACAGTGGATAAGTAATTCAGAAATGTTTCCAACATCGTTGATCTAAAGGCGCTGCCAGGGGGTGGCTGTCAGTTCTCGAGCTATAGGGCTATAGGTACATTTTACTATCCCAATAGTTTTCCTTTAATGGATACTTTAGCACATGATTTAGAACATACAAATGATGAATATCTTCCTATGAATTCCAATATGTTTAAAGCAGGAAGATTGAGAAACCTTATCCCACTACACAAAAAGCATCTGTGATAACTTACCTGTGTATGAAAAATCAGTTTCCAATGCACAGCAATACAAGTAGATTGTATATGTGTAATATATGCATGGATGCCTATAATAATGTAAGTACTTTTTCTACTATCTTCGCAGCCCACTTTTACACCTCTGGCCTAGAAAATTACATATTTCAGAATTGGCCTACAATCAAATTTCACTAAGGGGGTTCAAGCAGATGGATTGGCTAAACCATAGTTAACATGCTATTCTATTATTGTAAATGCCATTTAAGTACTTGTAGTTCCAACTAAAATGTTAAAAAAAAACAGTAGGGGAATGTTGCTATCCTAATAACTAAAAGAGACATCTGCAAATATAACTAGAAAGAACAAGAGATAAGTGTAAAGTGTTAAATGCATGTTGTTCTTTCCACATTATGGATCTCTGTACTCAGTGCTTCCAGTCCATGTGCTCTCTACTATTTTATAGATTAATTAGTCATTGTGAATGGATAACTAACTCCATTAATAAAGTAGTAGGGACACAAATAATAAACACTGAACCAAATAGTACTGCTTTGCTGTCACAGTTTTTAAAGATCTATCACTCAGAAAGGATAGCATAGAGGAAAGTATAATTAACACTTTACACCTACCTCTCACTGTCCTATCTACTTTTCTGGAAATTGTCTTTCATTTGCCTTTTGCCCTCCAGAAAAGCTTAATTGCTTTTATTTGCACATGAGGTTTTGTTTGTCTTTCACGGGACCAACACTACTAGGATTTGATTTGATAGACATCTGGCTTTCCTTATTCTAGCTATGTAACTATAGTTTAGTGAAAGCATGTTCTGAGTTATTAGTGTAATTTTTCCGTTATAGTAATTTTATATGTGACTTTTTTCTTTACATTTTTAAATGCTTGCCTAGCTGTAATTTTGTATTAAATGTAGAGATTGGTAATGTAACCACTATGATCATTCTCCTTAACTCAGATGCATAAGCCTCCTTGACTATACATACAGTAGTAATGTATCTATATTACTTTATCTGAACATGAAACAAATCACCTTAATAATGCTACACTTGGCAACATGGCTTTTGCATATGACAATTAATACTAGTCAGCTGCCACTGTGTAAAAATTGCATTCTTGCCAAATTCACAAAGTACATGTAATTGTGACTATTTAAATGCTTTTATTTGCTAAATTACGTATTTAGAATACACTGGCATATGGTGACATGTAGAAATAATGTATATAATCTGGGAAAGCCAGTAAAATTCATATTAAATCAATTAGGTTTGCATGGATATCTACCTTTAAAGTAATATTAAACTCTTTAAATTTTTCAATAATGTATCCAGATCAAACAAATTAATATTGCCCAGCAAAGTATTTCTTTACATTTTTGCCCAAACACTTAGTCATTATTTTTCAGAACAGTTCCAACTCTCTCAGCTCAGCTTCCCTGAACTCCCTGTCCAGTACAAGATCACAAGGACCAATGCAGTCATGCAGCTTTCAATCTACTAGGCTGGAGAACAGAGGAAGGAGGAGCAGGGAAGCAGAGAGCATGGGGCTGGCTTGCCATTCTTTGTCTGTGTGAGTGTGGAGATATACACAGAAGAAGTCACCCTAAAACATGATATCAGGACTAGTGATGGGCCGAACACACCTGAGTTTGGTTTGAGTTTGAACTTTAGAACATGTAAAAAGTTTGAACTCAAACTTTGAACTCAATGAAAGTCTATGGTACTGGAACTCAGAAAATCAAATGTCCCCATTTTGAAGGCTTATATGCAAGTTAATGGCCCTAAAAAGGGTATGGGGATTCAGGTACTGGCCTGGTGGACATGTATCAATGCAAAAAAGCACTTTAAAAAAATACAGTTTTTAACGGAGCAGTGCTTAAAGTGAAACAATAAAAATGAAAAATTATTTTAAATATCGTGCTTGGGGGGTCCCCTAAACTGCCTGTATAGTGGCACATATGTACAATGTATAGAACCTGCTGCAGCAAAAAGTGAAATTTATAAAGAAAAATATGACCTTTAAAAAGAAAAAAAGTGTGTGGTTCCCCCTATGAAACAATGCCAGACCTGGTAGTCTGGCATTGTTTGCCAATGTTAGGAGGGGCCCCATTTAAATAAAATGAAAAAATGCATGGGGTTCCCCCCAAAAGCCATACCGTCTGGTAGGAATTTTCAGAGGGAACCCATTTAAAAAAAAAAAGTGTGCGGGGTTCCCCCTCAAAGTCATACCAGGCCCTTAAGGTCTGGTAGGAATTTTAAGATGGAACTCCACCCCCCAAAATGTGGGGAAAAAACCTGGGGTCCTCCGTAAAATTCCAAACAAGACCCTTGATCTGAGCACAGGCCTGGCAGGGCAGGAAAGGGGGGGGGAGGATGAGCGAGTGCCACATTTTTAGGCCCCTGTGATATCAGGCCACATGCCCTCAGCACTGGGAGGGTGATTTTCCATGGTCGTTCCTGGAAAAGCACCTTGTCCCCAGGCCGATTGGGACAAGGACCTCTTCCCCACAAGCCCTGGGGCGTTGGTTTTAGGGGTGCGGGCAGGAGGGCTTTTTCACATCAGTACGCCCCCACTTGTGAATGAGTAAGGGTTACTTATACCCCTACACCTTCACTAAAAGGTTAGATCAAATTTTAAAAAATACACCAGACTTTTGAAAAAATCAAATTCAACCAAATAGTCCTTAATCATTCCATCTAACAGTTTACAAACTACCGATGTAAGACTAACTGATCTATAGTTCCCAGGTTGGCATCTTGCCCCCTTTTTGAATATTGGAACTACCGTAGCCCTCCGCCAGTCACTTGGGACTCTACCAGTCATTAAAGAGTCCCTAAAATGAGGAATAATGGTCTTGTTATAACCTCGCTTAGTTCCTTAAGTATCTTGGGTGTAGGTTATCTGGTCCCAATGCTTTATTTGCATTAAGTAGCTTAAAGTGACATTAAACCCTCAGATTTTTTAACATAACACAATACTGTAATGTGTGCCTTACTGTAATCCATGGTTGTTTCCCTTCTCTGTGCTGCTCTTCCTTTTAAATCTGTATCTGTTCTCATGCTGGGGAGAACTTCTGTTTTGCAGCAGGCTGCCTTGTCTCTGGAATGGCTACATGGTGTCTGTGCGTACGTTTGCAACCTGAGCCAGCACTACAGGAAGAGGCACTCAGCTGTAAAGGGAAGTTCTCCCCCAGCATGAGAAGACATGAGGATTTAAAAGGAAGAGCAGCAAAGAGAAGGGAATCAACCATGGATTACAGTAAGGCACACATTACAGTATTGTTTTATGTTAAAAAATCTGAGGGTTTAATGTCACTTTAAGTCTTTCTTGTATCCCGGTTTCTGTCAACCACTGCGGTATATTTTTTTATGAACTATGTTCATAGTTCTCACAGTGCACTGTGCTGTGATTGGGTAAAGTCTTGCACCTGACCTGAGGTCAGGTGCATTGCTTTACCCTATCAGGGTAACAGGCATCTCACATCATTTGCAATATCGAATGTGCACATGCTTTTGGTCCACATGTGTGTGTGTACTTTTGTTGCTTGTTTTGACCATTTGAAAAAAAAACCCATAAAATATACATGTTCTTTGTCCATACAGGTTAACTTTAAAGTCTTCCTCCCCAGGAACACATACATATGTTTTCTTTACTCCTCTGTCATTACAGGAGTGGAGAAAACACTTTGTACATCTGAGTAATGTGGACAGTACTGGTACTTTGTAACTGGCCCACCACCAATACATGGAGATAGAGAGGGAGGTCTTAACCCTGTGCAAGCTCTGACTAGACTGAATAAGAGGGTTATTCACAAAGCTAGCCGAAGGATCAGCCGTAGCTTCGGTCACCTTCAGCTAGCTTCGGCCACCTAAGCCCTTCGGTTCAGTCGAACCTAAGGGCTGCTGTACGGGCTATTTACTATAGCCCATACAGCTCCCAAAGGCGGCCGAGCGGCTTGTGCGAGCCGAATGCATTTGCTTCGGCTGAACTGAAGCTGGTCGAACACCCGGCCTTTGGCCGGCCGAAAGCCTCGCAACTGACAGCTGGGTGGGGCCAGCCGTGATCTCATGGCTGGCTGCGCTCAGTTGCAATGACAGATCAGCGTCCCCAGGTTACTATGGGGCGCTGAACTGTCATTAAACAATGGCAACTGGGCAGAGCCAGCCCTGGCGTCACGGCCGGCTCCGCCCAGTTGTTATTTATTGGCCGGGACCTGCTAGAAGACTTTAGTAGGTCCCAGCCAATAGGAAACAGCTGGGAGGAGCTAGTTGTCACTGCTAGCTGCACTCAATTGTCTTTAGTTTTTTTATTATTTTGTAAAAAAAATGTAAACAGATCTTTATTTCTTTTTTTTTATTTATCATTTATTTTTAATTTTTAAACATTTTTTTCACTGATTTTCTATTCTACTCGGTACCGCGGAGGTACCGAGTAGAATAGCTGAGCCGAATGTCGCTATTTTCGCGGCATTCGGCTATTCACTCACTGCCGTTCAGCCCCTATGAGAATAGGGGCGAACGGCAGCGAGTAGCTTGCCGGAGCTTGATCCAGATGTTGGATCAGCTGAGATGAAGTCCTTCTGCACTTCAGCTCAGCCGAACATGTAGAGTATGCTCGGCTGACCGGAGCTAGCCAATGTACGGCTGAAATCAGCTGTACAAGCCTGAAGTGAATAGCCTAACAGCGCTCGGCTCACTTCACTTTGGGTGGGTTATTCACTTGGCTGCCTTCGGCAGCTACATGAATAACCCTGTTAGTGTTACACTGGGCTCCGTTTCTTGCACTTGTAAATATTTTTATTTTTCCTTCACTTCCCCTGTTGCTACAACCAGGCAACCAATAGTAAGGTAAAATTATGCAAGGGGGGACAAAAGCAAAGCTTTTGCTGTGCCTTGCATGGAGAAAAACACAGATTTGCTTTAAACTACAGGACATACAACACCAACTATAGCACTGTACCTTGGCCCGATTCGCTTGTGTGAAGTGAGAAGAAGTATACAGGTTAATGTGAAAACAACAGAGTTTCTTCTTCACACATCGGTTAATTTCTCCATACTTTACATACTAATAAATAAATCCCAAGACAAGTTCATGTCACCTTACATTACACTTTAGTAAATCAGGTCCTATGCATGCAGTCTTAAATGAGAAGACAGCTATGATGATACAAAGAATTCTGCTACATGCATTTAGCTAAATTACACCTTTATTCCTTTGCTTATGCTTTGTTTCTGAAATGTTCAGCAGAACTGTGTGAGGGTTTACTATTTCCAATAATGGAGTGGATTTCACATCTATTTTATAATCTCTATAATGCTGGTATCTATTCCATTTTCGCTGTATGACTTACCTGCCATTGGAAATTCCTGTTCTGGTTGGAGAATATTTGGCTACATAAGGAAATGTTTCTCTGGGTTGTAGAGTAAATTTGTCATCACCAGTAACTCCATCACCAGCCACCAAAACATGAAAATGCAGGACATCCTTTGTCGGGTTAGTAATAGGAATGTTTATTCCAACTGTTTTCTGTGGGAAAAAAAATGAAGAATGTCAGAACTAAAAATAGTCATCTGTACTTGAAGCAGGATATGTGGAATTTAAATTAACATCTTTAGAACATAGTTTTTCTTAAAATGACAGATCTTATAATGTTTGTAACAGTTAACGCATCTTCATATTTATGTTCTCCGGTCATGTCCAAGGACATCACTGAAGGTATGTCATTTTATGACTGGCAAAGCTGAAATCAGCTGTACAAGCCTGAAGTGAAAAGCCGAACAGCGTTCGGCTCACTTCACTTCTGGTGGGTTATTCACATTCCTGTAGAATGTTTCGGCCATTTTATACAGTGCAGGCTGAAACATAATTTCTGTATATGGATTGTGATAACTGACAGCTCAGTCTGCAAACAGCTGCTCTTCCTCTGAGTAGCAGCTGGAACTACATTAAGATACACTGAGCCTGATTTACAAAAGTAGGACCAAAGGAAAAACAGAGCTTCTATCTACAATTAATATATTTGCAAGCCTGTTGTGATAAATTGAAACTATTAAGCAAATTGGTTTCTATGGGCAAAAGCTTCGGTTTTCTTTGCCCCAGTTTTTATAAGTCAGACTCAAAGAAGTTTACTGGAACATGAATGGGGACAAATGTGAATTTCAAGTAGAAGGAACGTTGAAATACTAACACATCATATAAAATGTTGTCTCCCCATTACTATGTATTGATATATTGAAAGCATATGCATACATTTTCTACTAAATTGTGAAGTAAATACATTTTTAGGCAGGTTTTTGATGCAGTCACATGACTGCAAAGCACCACAGAGCATTTCTATCTGTGTGGCTTGGAGGCATGAACTCTCCTATGGCTGACAACGCCTTAGCACTATAGATGCTGGCGGGATGACGTCATGCTTTATGGGATTTATCAGCCTTGTCCACAGACAAACACGTGCCCCAAAGCTATGCAATCATGTGACCGCATAGAAAAACTTAAAAAAACAGGTATTTACTTTACAAATTAGTAGACAATGTATGAATTTAATACATTTGGGAGGCAGTATTTTAAAAATGTGTTGGTGTTTTGCCTTTCCTTCTACTTTATTAATGGCAGTGAAATGTAACATACAGTATATATAACACAATTAAACAAAGTTATTCACATGACAGCCATATTTGATTAATGTTTGAGGGGATTTAGGAATCAGGAGTTTCAGCACAGATGTTCTAATAGTTTCTGTACTGAGAAGGTAGATGTGGATTGGAAGGGCTTAATTAAGTGTTAAGGCTTAGATATAGGGTTAGGTTAGGGTCAAGGGGTTAAGATTAAGGAGTTAAATTTAAAGTAGAGCTGCACCCAAAACTTTTTTCTTTAGTTTTGATAGAGATGGAGAGGGTTGGAATCTCTGTTAATAATTTTTTGTTGAGTCCCTGCTGGGAGTATTTGCCTCACATCCTGTCCTAGTGATGGTGTTTACTGGTACATAAAAACCCTTCAAAGTGAAAATATACAGAAATACAATATTTTAAAATAATGTAGGTAAGGTTTAGAACCTGCTTGTCAAGTAGCCCCCTTTACCCCAGTTTAAAAATACTATATTTAAGAGAAATATATTACAGAATCTCATTCTCATGGCAGCTTTTGCAGGTGAAGGGCAAGGGCTATTACTCTTCCCTCTAAGAAGCATCTAAAAAAATTTCTCTTTAACCTAGCATTCTATTAGAAGATTATGTGACACATTTCTGGGGATGTTTTTTTTCTTGTCACTATAAACCAGTGTTTTAGAAAACACAGGCTAGAAACTGATGCTTATTTTTACAGTTATCACATTACATTATGAACAAAGAAACATATACAAATATAGCTGCAATCAGCAATAAAGGTGGCCTGGTTATAGCTCATGAGCCTTGTTATAGCTCATGAGAAGATATTGTAGTTAGAGAGATAAATAGCAAGTTATGTATTTACAACAGACCTGTACAACTGCATACGTTTTCATGAATTGTGGGAACAAAAAATTGTAATGTTGAATTGTATTTGTAATATTTTTCCAAATTTAAAATTGGCAGCTGACCTTTCACATCTATATTAAAATTGCACGTATGCTGCTGAGTAACTATGTGTATCAAGTTTTAAGATAGTTCAGTAGTGATATAAATACACATTTGTGCAATTTGCGGCAATGTTAAATGTGATTGGCTTGTTTTGGCCATATTGACGTTGATATTCACTTCCTCTGACCACCCTTTATTAGGGGAGGTGGCCATGGAGATGTGTGCCAAATTTTGCATTATCATGACATACGGTTTAAAAGATAACAATATTTGTAGAATATTGTGTAATCCAATATGGCTGCCAAACTATGTGGTAGATTGACTTGTAAAACACAAGCCTGAGTCAGTATCTCTCTACAGACCTCTACAACTGGACATGATTTCATGAATTATAATTTTTTTCAAATTCAAAATGGCTGTTGACCTTGGTGACATTTGGAACCCATATTGTATTTGCAGTTATGATTTTGAGTTATCATATTTTTAACATGTTTAACATACTTCAATAGTGATATAAATGCACATTTATGCAATTTGCTGCAATGTTAAAAGTGATTGGCTTGCGGTGGCCCTTTTGATGTTGGCATTGACTTGCTTTGATACTCCGTGGTAGAGGAGGTGGTCATGGACATATGTGCCAAATTTTGCATTGTTCCGACAAACAGTTTCAAAGAAAAAGATGATTATAAAATATTGTGCAATCCATTATGACTGCCAAATCATGTGGTCAAATGACTCGTAATGAACATATAGGACTGTAGAACACAGCATATCCTCAAATAGCAATTTATATATCTGTAGCTTTAGCAGTTATGAAAAAACAGATGCTTGAATATTGTCCAAAATATGTTTGCTAAAACCAAGATGTCTGCCAAATCATGCAACCTATGACCTTTATGTTCCCAAAGATTAAAAACAGCACAGTTCTCTACCATTGTGCCAAATGTCATGAGTTTTTAAAATAACAGTGTGGTTATAATTAGTATTTGAAAAAAGGAGCATCAAAATAATAGGAATATTTGTAGAATTTTACACAATTCAATATGGCCGCAGAGCTATGTGGTCAATTGTAATGATTAGTTCTGAGTGCAGATCACAGCATAACTTTAAACAGCAATCTGTACATCTGTAGCTTTAATAGCTTCTGAGAAGCGGATGTTTGAATATGGAGCTGAATATTGTCACCTAAAACAAGATGGCTGCCAGGAAATGTGACCTATGACCTTTATGATGCAAAAGATTAGGCATAGCATAGAACTCTACCATTGGGCCAAGTTGCATGGGTTTTTAAATAACAGTGCACTTATTACAGGCTTTTGAAGAAAAGACCATAATAGTGATAACACTATCTAAATACAATTGCCTTGCAGTAGCCATATTAACTTTGGGATTGGACCTGTTTTTACAACTGTGGTAGAATAGGTTGGCCTGGACATATGTGCAAAGTTTTGAATTATTCTGATAAAGGGTTTCAGAGATGAAGATGTTTGCAGAATATTGTGCAATCCAATATGGCTGCCAAACCATGTAGCCAATAGACTTATAATGAACGCATGTGACTCTAGTGTACAGCATAACTTCACAAAGCAACTTGTACATCTGTAGCTTTAGTAGTTCTGGAGAAGCAGGTTTGTGAATATTTCACAAAAATCGTCGCAAAAACCAAGATGACTGCCACATCATGTGACCTATGATCTTTATATTGCAATAAGTTCTGCAGAGCAGTGTGCAAAGTTTCATGAGTTTTTATTACAGCCATTTGAAAAAAGCCGTAGAATAATGAAAATAATAATTAAAATAGTAATAGAAATGATAATAATAATAATAACCTTAGCAAAAGCAATAGGTCCTGCAACTTTGTTGATGGCCACCTAAAAATTCTAGCATGTTAAACTCATTAGTAAAATGCCTTACCATGCAGTACGATAGCAGAATTATCTTATCAAAAAACATTTAACTTCAAAGAGCTGTGCCCAGCTGGAACCTAGCTTGAGTGGCAGACGTTTCATGCTTATTGGCTCCAGTGGTATACATGGGTGAAGCTGAACATTATTTTACACTATTACTTAAAGAAAAAATACATTTTTAATATCAGAATTTATATCTAGTAAAATATAGGAATAAGCCTAAGTTAACATGAGTGGTGGATTTCAAGTCCCTTCCAGCCCACGCTGCCATCACTCTCCCACTGGACAGCCTGCTGAAGAAAGTCTTTGTTTGGCTCAGTACACTTTTCAGACTCAACAGTTAGCAGGACTTCTTTTTGAACATTTATTTGAATTTAGCCTTCTTTATGAATTTATTAGATTAAATATATTGGACAATGGCTAAATTAAATCTGTCACTTGTATGTAAGGTAGCATACCTAAGTATGTTAGGTAGCATGTAAGGTAGCATGTCATAAAGAAAGAGTATTATAATATGCTCCAAGCTTGCCCCATTATGGACTACAATCTCACGCTTAGTTTACTCATTTGTATTGAGATTGTAGTCCATCACGGGAGCGAGCTTGGAGCGGTGACTACTTCACAACACACACAGGGACATTGGAGATAAAGTAGCCACCCTCCAGAAGGAATGACAGTGTCTGCACCAATTCAGAGATGATTTGAGGATGTACAGAAAGTATACTTACTGATGCACAAATAAGCTACATTTTATTAATAGTTAGGGTATTTATGCATGTTTAAGGTTTAATTACAGAGTTTAGTGTCACTTTGAGCCAATAGCAATGGAAATTATTGGATTTTTTTTTAATTAAGCAAAATCTATAAATCAAATGATTAAACTAATACAAATAAAACAATCTATGCAGACAGGTCTCAAAGTCACAATGAGCTGTAATCATAAAAACACAGAACCTTACATTGTGAACTTTGTATGTTGGCAAGTGACAAATGGTTATATATGAAAACTAGTCATGTAAGGCAAGCTGAAATGTTGATGGATTTGTGTTGTCTGTATCAGCAG